AGTCACCCCTCCTCACTGTCACTAGTCACCCCCCCTCTCACTGTCACTAGTCACCCCCCCATCTCACTGTCACTAGTCACCCCTCCTCACTGTCACTAGTCACCCCCCTCCTCTGTCACTAGTCACCCCCCATCCCTAGTCACCCCCCCACTGTCACTAGTCGTCACCTCCCTCACTCTGAGGGAGGGTGTGACTAGTGACAGAGAGAGGGAGGGGGTGACTAGTGACAGAGAGAGGGAAGGGAGGGGTGACTAGTGACAGAGTAAGGGGATGACTGGTGACAGAGTGAGGGAGGGGGTGACACAGTGACGGAGGGAGGTGATGACTAGTGACAGAGTGAGGGAGGTGGTGACTGTCACTAGTCACCACCTCCCTCACTCTGTCCCTAGTCACCCCTTCCCTGCTTAACTGTCACTAGTCACACCCTCCCTCACTCTGTCACTAGAGTGATGGGGTGACTAGTGGCAGAGTGAGGGAAGGAAGGCACTAGTCACCAGCTCCCTTACTCTGTCACTAGTCATCACCTCCCTCTGTCACTACTCCCTCCCTCCTTTTATCACTAGTCACCCCCTCCGTCCCTCACTCTGTCACCAGTCATCCCCTCCCTCTGTCACTAGTCACCCCCTCACTCTAGTGACAGAGTGAGGGAGGGTGTGACTAGTGACAGAGAGAGGGAGGATGTGACTAGTGACAGAGGGAGTGGGTCACTAGTGACCGAGGGAGTGGGTCACTAGTGACAGTAAGGAAGGGGATGACTAGTGACAGAGTGAGGGAGGGAGTGGGTGACTAGTGACAGAGTGAGGAAGGGGGTGACACAATGACAGAGTGAAGGAGTGAAGGAGGTGGTAACTGTCACTAGTCACCCCATCACTCTAGTGACAGAGAGAGGGAGGGTGTGACTAGTGACAGAGTGAGGGAGGGAAGGGGTGACTAGTGAGAGTGTCACCCCCTTCCTCACTCTGTCACTAGTCACCCTCTCCCTCCCTCACTCGGTCACTATTTACCCCCTCTCTCACTCTGTCACCATTCATTCCCTCACTCTGTCACCAGTCATCCCTTCCTTCCCTCACTCTGCCACTATTCATCCCTTCCCTCACTCTGTCACCAGTCATCCCCTCACTCTGTCACTGTGAAGGAAGGAAGGGGTGACTGGTGACAGAGTGAGGGAATGACTAGTGACAGAGTGAGAGAGGGGGTGACTAGTGACCGAGTGAGGGAGGGAGAGGGTGACTAGTGACAGAGTGAGGAAGGGGGTGACACAGTGATAGTCACCCCATTCCTCCCTCTGTCACTAATCACCACCTCCCTCACTCTCACTAGTCACCCCATCCCTCCCTCACTCTGTCACTAGTCACACCCTTACTCGCTGTCACTAGTCACACCCTCCCTCTCTCTGTCACTAGAGTGAGGGGGTGACTAGTGACAGAGTGAGGGGGTGACAGGTGATAGAGTGAGGGAAGGGGTGACTAGTGGCAGAGTGAGGGAAGGGAGGGATGACTAGTGACAGAGTAAGGGGATGACTGGTAGAGTAGAGAGGAAGAAGTGACTTACACAGTGAACAGAGGTGATGACTAAAGTGAAACAGAGTGAGAGAGGGGGTGACTGTCACTAATCACCCCATCCCTCTCTCTGTCACTAGTCACTCCCTCCCTAACTCTGTCACTGTGTCACCCACTCCCTCACTCTGTCACTAGTTACTCCCTCCCTAACTCTGTCACTGTGAAGGAAGGAAGGGGTGACTGGTGATAGAGTTAGGGAGGGAGTGACTAGTGACAGAGTGAGGGAGTGGGTGACACAGTGACAGAGTTAGGGAGGGAGTGACTAGTGACAGAGAGAGGGATGGGGTGACTAGTGACAGTCACCCCCTCCCTCTGTCACTAGTCACTCCCTCCCTCTCTCTGTTACTAGTCACTCCCTCACTCTGTCACCAGTCATCCCCTCACTCTGTCACCAGTCATCCCCTCACTCTGTCACCAGTCACCCCTTCCCTCCCTCACTCTGCCACTAGTCATTTTTTCCCTCCCTCACTCTGCCACTAGTCACCCATTCCCTAACTCTGTCACTAGTCACCCCCTCTCCCTCCCTATGTCACTAGTCACCCCCACTCACTGTGTCTCCCACTCACTCTGTCACCACTCAACCCCTCCCTCCCTCACTCTGCCACCAGGTACCCCCTCACTCTGCCACCTGTCACAACCTCCCACACTCTTCCACCTGTCACCTTCTCCCTCACACACTGTCACCTGTCACATATGCATTCACACAGACACTATATACAAAAAAGCACATGTAGTCATCCCGACATTCACACAGACTCAAATACAAACATGCATTGATACACAGGTCTTCACAATATACACATCCAAAGGAATGCTGTATTATGAGTTATATTTAACATTTATTTAATGCACATATATTTGGCCTTCAAAGGGCCTGGGATCTAATTTTGCCCGGGGGCCCCAAAGGCTCTCAGTCCGCCCCTGGTTACAATATAGAACATTTTATCACATGCTGTACAAAAAATGTCATATACCTACTGGAGTGCCCCTTTGGCCTCCAGTATGTGGGTATGACATCCAGAAATCTAAAGACTAGGACAGTGATGGCGAACCTTTTTGAGCCCGAGTGCCCAAACTGTAATACATGCCAATTTTTTTCCCCTCAAAGTGCCAAAACGGCAATTAAACCTGAATACTGAGGTTTAAGTTTAGAAAAAACAACTCATACAGTTGTCTGAACTAATTAACATCTCTGTGTGTGTATTAAACAGTTTGTGTGTGTGCTCGGCAGTCTGTCTGTATATGTATTTAGCAGTCTGTCTGTGTGTATTTAGCAGTCTGTGTGTATTTAGCAGTCTGTCTGTGTACTTAGCAGTCTGTCTGTATTTAGCAGACTGCTGAATACACACACAGACTGCTGAGTACATAGTCTGCTGAATACACACACAGACTGCTAAATAAACACACACACACAGACTGCTAAATAAACACACACACACACACACACACACAGACTGCTAAATACGCACACACACACACTGCTGAGTGTACACCCAGACTGCTGAGTACACACAGACTGCTGAGTGTACACACACACAGACTGCTGAATGTACACACACACAGACTGCTGAGTGTACACACACACAGACTGCTGAGTGTACACACACACAGACTGCTTAGTGTACACACACACAGACTGCTGAGTGTACACACACACAGACTGCTGAGTGTACACACAGTGCATTGAGGGGTACAGTGTATGTGTTTGTGTGTGGGGTGGTGTGTGTGTCTTTGTGTGGGGTGATGTGTGTGTGTGTCTTTGTGTGGGGTGATGTGTGTATGGCAGGGGTGCTGTGTGTAAGTCGTCTCCCCACCCCCACTGTTTTCTTTCCCCCCATCCCTCCCTCATTTTTTTTTCTCCCATCCCACACTCAGTTTCTCCCCCATCTCTCCCTCAGTTTCCCCCCTCCATACCTCCCTCAGTTTTCTCCCCGCATCTCTCCCTCAGTTCCCCCCTCCATACCTCCCTCAGTTTTCTCTCCCCCCATACCTCCCTCAGTTTTCTCTCCCCCCATACCTCCTCGGTTTTCTCTCCCCCATACCTCCTCGGTTCCCCCCCCTGCTACCTCCTCAGTTCCTTACACTCCTCGGTTTCCTTCTCTCCCCCCATACCTCCCTCAGTTTTCCTCTCCCCCCCCATACCTCCTCAGTTTCCCCCCCCATACCTCCTCAGTTTCCCCCATACCTCCCTCAGGTTTCTCTCCCCCCATACCTCCTCAGTTTTCCCTCAGCCCCTCAACATCACCCTCAGGTTTCCCCCCCATACCTCCCTCGTTCCTTCTCCCCCTCCCTCAGTTTCTCTCAACCCCCCATGCCTCCCTCAGGTTACTTCTTCCCCCCCCATGCCTCCTCAGTTTTCTCTCAACCCCCCATGCCTGCTCCCTCCAGATTCCTTCTCCCCCATACCTCCCTCAGTTTTCTCTCACCTCCCCCTTCATCCCTCCCTTAGTTTTCATTCCCCCCCTCCCCTCCTTGAGCTCCTACCTTGTAGCGTGGCCGAGCGCACCGCGGAGCTCAGTTTCCTGTACCCGGCGGACAGGAAGTGCTCTCTCTGTGAGCACTTCATTTCCGTCCGCCCGGGTACAGGAAACATAAGTTCCTGTACCACGGCGCGCTCGGCCACGCTACACCTCTGCATGGCGGGGTGAGCCCCCCCCCGCAATGCGAGCAGAAAGAAATAGAATTTGGGATGGAACAGCGCTACAGTACTGATCACAGAGGTGGATGGAGCTGCACACCTGAGGGGTATTCACCAAAACCTTCAATAAATCTGGGAGCAGGAAACAACAAAAATACAGGATGCGCTAGGTAGAATAAATGAGAGATAAATGGTACAAATAGGAGATAATATTTACAAAGAAAAAGTCTCTGAAAATACAAGGTGGGTCTGCGCTCACCTCCTGCCGGTCACTCCGGCTTTGCGCCCGCCGGGCCAGTGCGCCCTAAGGCGGCCACTTGTGCCGCCTTATGGATGCGCCGGCGGAGCGCACCCTCCGGCGACCTATGGCCGCGTGCCCACAGAGGGGGCTCGGCGTGCCACCTGTGGTACGCGTGCCATAGGTTCGCCATCACTGGACTAGGATATCCGAACATTGTCGCAATATTAAAAATGGTTTTGAGAACCACACAGTCTCAAAGCACTTTTTAACACATCACCAAAAAAACTCAAGTGTCCTTAAATTCACCCCTATCCAAATATGTACAATCCCATGGAGAGGTGGGGATATTAAAAATATTTTATGTAAATCCGAAATGGAATGGGTTTTTAATCTTAAGACACTTACCCCTGACGGTTTAAATGCAGATTTTGACCTTTTTAATTTCTTATAAATTTTTATTTTCTTAATCAATATCAACAACTTTTATAACTTTTTAATTTATGTTAATTATAAACACTTACATAGTTACATAGTTACATAGCTGAAAAGAGACTTGCGTCCATCAAGTTCAGCCTTCCTCACAAATGTTGTTGCTGTTGATCCAAAAGAAGGCAAAAAACCTGGTCTGAAACTAGGAAAAAATTCATTCTTGACCCCAAAATAGCAGTCAGATGTCCCCTTGGATCAAGCAGCTATTACCCCACTAATTAGAAATTATATCCCTGTATGTTATGTTTTTGTAAGTATTTATCCAATTTCAGTTTAAACATCTGTATGGACTCTGACAAAGCCACCTCTTCAGGCAGAGAATTCCATATCCTTATTGTTCTTACTGTAAAAAAACCTTTTCTTTGCCTTAGATGAAATCTCATTTCTTCCAGCCTAAATGTGTGACCTTGTGTCCTATGTATAACCCTGTATATGAATAGATTTCCAGATAAAGGTTTGTACTGGCCCCGAATATATTTGTATAAAGTTATCATATCCCCTCTCAGGCGCCGTTTTTCCAAACTAAACAGATTTAATTTTTTTAACCTTCTTCATAACTAAAATGCTCCATTCCTTTTATCAATTTTGTAGCTCGTCTCTGGACCCTCTCCAGTGCCATGATATCCTTCTTTAGAACAGGCGCCCAAAATTGCACAGCATATTCAAGGTGTGGTCTTACCAGCGATTTATAAAGCGATTTATAAACTTGACTTCTCTACTACCTCTTTCCATCTACAATGTCCTATAACACTAGGATATATATTTTAATAATCATTGAATAGCCTTTTAAATTTAAAATGTATAACCGTTTTTTATTACACTTTATTTAAACATCAAGTTCAGACATTTGTATACAAACTATAATTTATTAGTTTATTCAACATTTACCTTTGTTTTAAAAATGCTATTATCTAATATAAACATTCACTTTGCTATAATGTAATTTCTATTCTATCTAATACACTTTCCCACACTTTGCCCATAACTAAGATGGCCGCCACGTTCACATTATCTCGGCCGCAAGGTCCGCTCCCTTTTCAGATCACACCCTTCATTTGGACCCCACTCCCCATAATGCACCTTGGCCTCTTCCCACACTGCCTCCTGTTCACATCTGACCCCACCCACGGCTGGGATTTCGCAACCTTTCACCTCTGCATTCCCCTACATCACTTCCTTTTTGTATCAAACAAAGGTCAATTTTTAACCTCCTATATGAGTTATACATGGGTCTGAAATCATCCCATGTATTCTTTTATGTAAAACGATCAGTATGTAACATTTATGTTTATCTTATATGTATGTATAGGTCATGTGATCGCGGTCACATGCTAATGACGTCATTTTGGCGCCAATTTTCAAATTCAAGCCTTTTCTGCTGCCTATAAAATGTAACAAGCCAGGAGTATCTGTTTACACTTGAAAAAGCATATTTTGGGCGAAATGCATTGTGTTTTTTATGACCTTATTATAATAAAATTATTTTTAGACCACCTATATCCCTATGGTCAGTCCTTCTACTTTTATTTTTTTGCTACTTTTATCCTGGCTGGTTTTTACTATTTTAAAAGATCCAGTACTACAAAGAAATCCTTAGGTGGGGATTATTCCACTCACGCCTGGTTTATAGAGCAGTGTGGCTGCTCTATACATTGTAAGTACGTTTCATTTTACTTTTTAGCACCATTTTATCTACTGAGAACACCATGGGCTCTCTTCTGTGCTTTTGTCTTTCATAAATCCTGCACTCCATACATCACCAGAAGGATATCCTACATGTGGGGAGTTTAAATACCACTGTATGCTGTTTTAGTTAGAGCTGATTATAGCTCTTTTCACTGTAAGTTGGCACTCTCAGGACTTCCGTGTTTGTCTGTAGCTGCAGGTGTCATATGCTATTGTACCATTGGTCCGTTTTTTCCTTTATGTTTTTTATATGCTGACACATATTTGAGTCGTTGTACAAAGTATTGAAGAATTACCTATTGTCCAACAATATCCTACATGTGGGGAGTTCCAAATACCACTGTATGCTGTTTTACCTAGAGCTGGGCATAGCTCTATCAATCGTGAGTTGGCATTTCTCTTTTCTGTGTT